GCATGTGCCTCGGAACACAGTAGTAATGCTAGCATGGAGATTTTGGAGGGAGTTTGCCCCAACTGTTCAACTACGTCATAGTCTCTCCTCTTTATAATTTTCAGGATCTCCTCTGTTGTACCCCAAAATTTGCCCTCCCATATTCTTCAAAGTTTTGACAAGCATCATCTCAATTTGCTCAAGTCTACTCAAGGGTTGCACAGTTCAAACACCCTCCTAAGCCAGTCAAATTAGGGTTTTGGTTCTTGCAAGGAAGTTGAGGTTTTCAAGGGCTCAATCAAGTCACATATGCCTATATACATTGTCAAGCACCTACATGTCAAGTTTCAAGGCTCACGAGGTTAAGTTGCACAGTCAAAAACCCTAATTGCTTCACAATCAACTGCAGGGGCAAAATGGTCATTTGGCAGTCAAAAGTCAAAAATTTTGGTCAACATCTTATTTTGAATCCACAATCATCATTTGGTCAAATCTTGACCATGATTTCACAAGAATGGCTCAAAAATCATCAAGATGCAAAAGTTTCTATTTTTGGACAGCTGAAAAGTCACTTGTAACTTGACCAAGGCATAACTTTTTCATGGTTCATCAGAAAAATCCCATCCAATGCTCATTTTGAAAGGGATGACATTTCCTACAACTCATCTTCACATTCCAAGTCCAAGAAATACTCTCACAAAAAGTTATCAATTTCAACATTATAGGTCATTTTCAAAAGTCAACAAAAAGGCATTTTAAGTAAAAGAACATAACTTGAGATTGGTAAATCAAAATGACATGGGACCAAAGGCATTGGTTAGAGGACTTCAAGACCTTTCCAAAATGTCCAAGAACATGTTCATATGATCAAAATTGAGCAAGATATGCATTGGAGAAGTTGGGAAATGTTTGTGAAATGGAAAAAGTCAACTATCCTTGAAACTTCAATTTTTGACAAAAGGGCCCACCTTTTTCCACTTGATTCATCCTTTTCATGCCACCCACGTGTCCCATGATCAATTTCAAGATTAAACATTAATTTTTCTATTTTTATTTAATTTTATTGATTTAATTCATTTTAAATCCATAAAATTCAAATAAAAATCAAAAAAATTAATCAAAGGATATCTTGTGTTTTGAATGACCTTGATGCATCATAATACACATGCCAAATTCGTGCCAAGCTGAATTAAACATGAAATTTCAAATTTTGAACAAAAATGGCAAGTTTCTTTAATGGTGGTTATGGAGAAATCTCAAAACATGATTGCAATGATTAAAGGCTCATGATATGATCTGATTCTCATTCACACACATATATGCAAGCCTCTCATACATCAAGCACGACCTAGAAACCTCTGAAACAAAAAGAACCAAATTCAAAAATCCAAGCAAAAAAGTGAAAACTGAAATCCACCTTCCAAGGCAATTCAAGGCCTTAGAGCAATTCAAACACGTTGCATAAGTCCCCAGGAATCTTTGGAGATCAAAATCACGCATCAACGCTCAAGGAATCATCCACAACAAGTCCCACAGTTTGGCTTATTTTCCAAAATTGCATATCATTATTCATGCGCTTTTAATCTATTTTTTGGGTTGATTTGTGTTAATAGGAACCTCCTGAAGCGATTGGTATAATCCAATTTGATTGTAGCATTCTGAATCGAAAACCACCATTGAAGAACCTTAGGGTTTCGAAGCTTGGATTTTGGGGTTTTTTACATACTGAAAAATTGGACCTTGAAACGTGCATGGTTGAATTCGTCAAGGCCAGACGAATTCAACCCAATCATCGCGCCCTTTTTATATAACCTGCAACGCTAATCGCTATTTTTCTCTTTTCCAGTTTGTGGGGGTTTAAAACCCCCGCTATCGGTTTGATATTTCTGCAGGTGAAACGAAGAAGGAGATGGCGTGTTGACGTGTGGTTGGTGGATTCAAATCTACGCGCGTTTTTTCATTGTTTCCATCATGGTTATTATTTTGCATATATTATATTTGTTACTTATTATGTTTACAAACGCAACGTGATGGTGGAGTGGCTGGAGACGTGGCTTGCAATCGTTGGGACCTGGGTTCGATTCCCAGGTCCCCCCATAATTCCATGTTATTTTTTCTAATGCTTTCTTGTGCAGCGTTCCAAGGATGGCACACCATAAACCTCACATCTCAGCTTGCCAAGTGTCCCTCAGAAGCAGATCCAAAGGCCTGGATTGGACGAGCACCATACTCCTGGTCAACCTACACCATGGACAATCTCCAAAAGTCAAACATGGCCTTGTGTTAATGGGCCTCAGATTCCAATTTTCACCTCCATATTGGGCCCAGACCCCCTCCCTTGGTTTATTCTTTTTCTTTTCCTTTTTATATTTTCTAATTTAGTTATTAACTCTTTTTTTTTAATTATTATTATTACCATCAAAATTAATTATTTAACCCTTTCACAATAAAAAATCAAAAAAGAACTAATATTATTATTATTATTAATTTCATTTTATTTTTGTAAATAAATACTAATAAAATGAATTAGTTTTAATTAGGCAACTTTAACCTTTTTTTCTTAATAACTAAAATAAATTTAGAATTAGGTTTTTATTAACTCTTAATTTTAATTCCTGTTATTTCATTAAAAACATAAAAATACAAAAAACATTTTTTCCTTTTAATAAATTAATTAATTAATTGGATATTAATTTTAATTTCATTTAATCACAAAAAGAGACAAAAAATTCATTTCTTTTCTTAAAAGGGTCAAAACCCTTAGGACGTTCCCGATTAAATTTCCATTCGCGCATTTTCATTTCTTTTGATTATATTTTTGTATCTGTACAGAGGATGTAATAGTAATTAGGATTTTATTGCTTTCTTTAATTTTCTCGCACTTTATTTTCAAAACGGGTTATTGTTTTTGGCGATGTATAGACCCGCGCCTTGTAATAGTTAGAATTTACATTTCACTACAAGAAAATTGGCAGATTGCGACAGGTATTTTGTAGATTACGACGGTTAAAACCGTCGCAATTTGCTTTCCACGACGGTTGCTTTACCGTCGCAGAAGTGTGTGTCCCCAACCTATTTCGCGACGGTTACAAAAATTGTCGTTCAAGTTTACGACGGGTTGATACCGTCGTGACTATCTTTTGAGTTTCTTTTAATTATTGATGGCAACGGTTCGATACTGTCGTGAATATCTTTTGAAATTGATTAAATTGTTTATGGCGACGGTTCGATACCGTCATGACTTTTGTTGATTATTTTTAATTGTTGATTACGACGGTTCGCTACTGTCGCTATGACTTTTGTTTATGTCTTGATTTTTTTTTATTTTTCTATTATATATATTTTTTATTTAAATTATTATCTATGTAAAAAATTTTAAATATAGTTTTTTTTTGTGTTATTTTTTTCTTTAAATTATTTCTTCTTTAATATATTTATTTATAGTATTATTTTTTGTTTTATTTTCTATCACTTTGTAATATAGTAAAAATAATTTCAATAAAAAATATTTAACATCAAATAAGCATTATAATATCCAAAAAAATATGTGTTCCATAATCATGTAAAATGCGAGTTCCATAATCATGTCAAGTAGTACAAAAAACCCAAAATATATCAATTCCTAATCTTATAATAATAAGTATCATTATGCCAAAAATACATGAGAAAGTTCACAATCTAATTATCTCGATCATAGCAAAGTCTAATTTGTCCCCCCTGAAGTTCCATTATCTCCAATATGGTAGCTAGACTCAGATGAACGTCTACCATGCCTGAGAATATAAAATCCAAGTGAAAATCTGAGGTATAAATGTATTTAAACCATAACAAGAGAATATATAAATATATGATCCAAAGTTGATGTCAACAAATGGAAGGAAAAAAAAGGATCATACTTGTAACATGTAACTTGCAGTTGGATCATCAGCATCCAGTTGAGATTGTTGCAGTGACATCAAGACATCCATGACCTAGTCAATGAAGAATGAAAACCATACATTAGCACACAAAAAGTGAATAACAATCAGATTGTATGAAATAAGATATAAAAACTATTTGGATAAAAAAATAAACAAAAAACATGCTAAAATAAATTTAAATCACCTGCTTGGCATCATCCCTGAACTTCTCCTTTCCAACAGCCATTCCTACCAAACTAATACACTCCATTGCTTTGGCACGAAGCATACGATTAGATTTATCATTTGCATTCAATAAAATAGCTTTTAGATATGGGGTTACAGCATCATAATACTTCTGAAATTTCTCCTGTTGACATGAGATTTAAATTTATTAAAAGACTTAAAAACAATGTGATTCCAATACAGAAGAATTGTTATATAAAGCACCTGTGAAGAATCAGCAACAGATGCTAATGCTGTCAAAGCACCTTCTTGAACCATCTGGTTTCCACCCTATAATTCATGCATGAAAAGAGATGAAATCATATAATTCCAAGTTTATCATCCCAAATCTATAAAATATAAAGCAGCATAACACCTTTGGGATGCAACAATTGATGAAACAAAGTAACATTATACAACAATACTCACAGTCATGAAAGAAAAACTAACAAATTAGGAATCTAAGGCTTCCAAGTATAAAAATTCAAAGATGAGTAAAAAATAGATAGAATTCAACATTAATCAGACTACCAACGACATTTTTATCTGAATAAAAATCGGTGAAAATCATCATCACAAACAACACAAACTTTTCTATCATTTTAACTTGATATTGTCTAATAATCAGACTACCTTTGAGAACAAAGTAACATATTCCCAAACTCATCTACAACACATATGTACATATCGCGTTGTAGCATAATTTAAAGATAAAAATGAACAGAATAAAAGGTAAATAAAAACCTTTGCTACTATGGTCAACCACAAGAGCTTTAACATTATGTAACCATTATATTATGCCCACTGCCTGACAGGATGGATTTAGGGTTCAATATGAATATCATCATCGCCTCAGAATCGACACAACTGACCATGCAAACCTACGTCTTTCCGAGCTTAATTTAACCTGACAAATACATCTGTGACAGAGTAAACAAAAAAAGGAAAGGGACTTATGTTAAAATTAAGCAAAAATAAAATTATCACTTAAAGAAAATTATGAAACAAGAAAATAATCACAAGGCATGCCCGGAAAGTCATAGAACAAAGCAGTCTTTAAATTGAAGGAATCTAGCTTAGTGGCTGATATTTCGTTCCAGACAATGCCATTGGTGTATGGATACAGATCACATTAATAGTATCATGGTTCAAATGAAGTTAGGGTTTTATTTGTGGCATTATTCTTACACTATTCCCTTTGCAAAGGAAAATGGTGATGTTATCAAAGAACAATAACAAGAACCCACCTCTCACATCAAAAGTCATGTTTCCATTCGTTTTGCTCTCGCCTACATTAAAACAACCTTTGTGAATAAACATCCCACATTCATTGCTCCAACATCAATCCGCTTCCATGCCCAACCAAACATCAATCCCTTAATCACCTCTACAACACCATCATCTTATAAAACATCTATGGTGAAAGCTTCAAAAAACTAGCAGCCAATATTAGACCTTTACAACAATGAATACCCATTACCATCAACACAATACCCATGAACTACTCAAACTCCAACCACTAGAGGCCTTTACAATGCACCAACCTTGTTACCATCAATATACCCCACGAACCACTCCATTTGAAACCAACAACACAATACTTCACTACTTTCTTTCTCATCAAGTCATTCCAAAATCGCCATCACCAAACTCATTGTCCTTTTACCTTCATCTACACACAGTTGCACTCAGGCTACAACCCATTGCACTATGTTCTTTACACCCCCTATACTGCAAGACAAAACCATCACATCAGCATTTCTATACCCCAATTACTGCTACTATCAAGCTCTACAATCTATCGAGAACACAACAACAATGAACTACCATAAATTCATTGCTATCATAGAACCACCAAAACATTTTCCCTCATCCCACTCCATAAATTTCATTGCTATCATAGAACCACCAAATCATGTTTCTTGTATTCTTAATCCCACAATAGAGTCGACGGCTTTTGTTGTGCACAAATGTGAATAAATTTTTTAGAGAGCAGGGTCGAGGGTGTTGAAAGGTTTTGGTGTGGCTAAAATATATATAAGAATCAACCGTGTGCTTTCTTTTCCACCATGTCAGTAACAAGGGAACATTTGCCAGCCATGTCAAAAACTTGCATTGACTCTTAGGTGGAAAGTTAATGATGGAAAGCATTTGTTTAATCTAAAAACTCGAACTAAATTGACTGGCAAAAAAATGGGGGAGAAAATGGTAGACCTTGGATTTTTAAAGTACCAGTAGTTTTGAAATAAAAAGAATTTAAAACACCAATTCAAAAACCACAGAATTCTCAAATAGCCGTTGCCATCAGAACAGATGATTAAGCCAATAACGATAACAGTCTCCCCAACTTCACATATAGAATTCAACATTAATCATAGGTAACTACATATCAACTTTTCACGAAACTTATAAACTAAACTCGTTACAATTTAAGGTGTACAGTATGTTGCTAATTTATGATAGCTTTGCATAACAAACTAAACTCATTCCAATTCAAGGTCTATGTTGTGAATCTATGATAGCTTTGAGTAACATTGATTCCCTAAAATGCTATAGAGGATAGGCGCTATTGTTAAGATTAAAACCCAATGTACAAAGTAAAAAAAAAATGCACACAATTAAAAAGACCTTTGTACTTAAAGAAACCTAAAGTACATAGCAACAAAACTTAGGCAAACAAGAAGAATAAAATAACAATTTTTGAGCTCAAGAACATAACATTACTCTTGAATGAGTTTGGATGGAAGCTTATACCCTAGAGAAAAAACCAACTATTTAAACAAATGAGGAATTTATCCGCAAAATCCCACTAGCTGACCGCAATTTTGCAACAATTAGGAACCGCTGCCCTACTGCTGACCCTACCATTCTGTTCCGCTGCTATTGCATGCTATTGACAACTTAGTTTTAAGGTTCACCCAATTTGGAGAATAATTCAAACTTACCAACACTAATAACTAAGTGCATCTCAATTTTGATATGAAACCTATAAACTCATTCAATATAAGTTAATCCAAATTGGAGCAATGCTAATTCGTGTTATTGACAACATAGTTTTAAGGTTAATCAAAATTGGAGCAATGCTAATTCGTTAATCCAAATTGGAGCAATGCTAATTCGTTCATCCAAGCAATGCCAATTCGTTCAACCAAGCAATGCCAATTCGTGCTATTGACAACACAGTTTTAAGGTTCATCCAAATTGGAGCATAATTCAGATCTATCAACAATAATCAAAAGGTAAGTCCATCTCAATTTTTATATGAAACCTATAAACTCGTTCAGTTCAAGTTAATCCAAATTGGAGCATAATTCAAATATGCACTGCTATTGCATGCTATTGACAACATAACTAAGTCCATCTCAAGTTTTATATTAAACCTATAAATTCATTCCAAGTTAGTCCAAATTGGAGCATAGTTCAAATCTGCACTATAGACAACATAACTAAACACATCTCAATTTTGGAATGAAACCTATGGATTCGTTCAATTCAAGTTAGTTCAAATAGGAGCATAATTGGAATATGTAATACCTGTCACGGTCAGAGGGATTGGAGAGACACTGAACAAAATTGATGCTGGCAGCAAGAGCGGCGATGCGGACATCTGATGACGATGTAGCAGCGCTAAGGCTGCGGAGGAAAACAGAGTGAAGAGTAGACAATTGAGGAATTAGGGTTTCACCTATGTAACGAGCCAATTGAGCAAACACAAGTAGCGAAGTCTCCTGAAGCCTAGCGTCAGGTGAAGTAGTCAGGTGAAGTAAACAACTGGAAGAGAAGCGGGAGTAGGTCAGGCCACGAAGCAAGGTCTTCGGAGAGAAGTGCAGAAGCAAGTTCAGAAACCGTGTCGCATAGCTTCTTAGCAATGGATTTGACAGGCTCTTGATGGAGAGAGGAGAGGATGAGGGAACGGAGAGTGGATTGAGTGGAGACGGTTAGGTGTGGGTAGATGAAGGAGTCGTCGTGGTGGCGCATGAGGTGGCGGCGGAGGAGGATTGTGGACATGGTGCGGGTTTCAGGGTTCGGGGAAGTGTGGAGAAGTTGGGCGAGTTTGAGGATTAGGGAATCGGGGTAGGTTTGTTTGCATAGGTTGAAGATATTTTCGGCTTGGGAGCGAAGGTCGTTGGAGGAGGACATGAGGTTTGTGATTTGGGATTCTAAGATATTTTATGAGTAAGTTTAACTTTAAAGGTTTTGGGTGCGACGGTTGTTTTACCGTCGTGAAATGAATTTTAGGACGGATAATTTTACCGTCGTGAAAGGTTTAAGGGTGCGACGGGTGCTTTACCGTCGTGATATGCCTTTTAGGACGGTTAATTTTACCGTCGTGACTAGTTGTTGGTGAAAAATCAATGTTAAAAGTGTTAAATGGGGGCCGACGGTTGTTTTACCGTCGTAATAATAATATTATGATGGTTAAATATATCGTCGCAAAATAAATATTAGGGACGGTTGGTGTCAACTGTCGTAAACACTGTCTCTATATGTCAATTACGACAGTTATCACATAACTGTCGCAATTTTTGTGTCGTTAAACACTAATTTTCTTGTAGTGTTTCTGCAATTTACTTTCCGCACCCCTAACTGTTAAATGCATGAAAGAATGTATGTAAATAAAATTAATCCGTAGCTCACAAATAACATGTACAAAGACAATTAACTGGGAAAAAAAACAACACACAAAGCACATGCCACTCCTAGGGTACGCTTCACTCGTTGCCTCGAAACATGGTCATCAAGTATAGGGTGTCTTAGAGGTCGCCCTTCTGTCCAAAAGATCCATTTGCCTCGAAACGGTTGCCTCGGATACAAAGGATCTAGGACATTAGGGTTACTTCTAAGGTATCCTACCATTGCTTCGGTGACCACACTGTCCCGATAATCGGATTGACCCGAACACCTCCAACGATGGTGCTACCTACCTCTCAATGGTGGGATGGCACTATCTAAAGGACTCTTACACAGCTTAATTCCTTAGAGTAGGTAGATTCTCATAGGTACTTGCTCTTTCAAAAAACAAACAAAACAAACTTTTCACACTGACACTTTCAAAAGTTTTCAAACAAATTTTTCATACACTCTTGAGGACAGATACAAGAGTTACCTAGAAAATTTTCAAACGAAACCTTTCCAAAGCCCACACACATTTGAAAAGCAAACATCTTTTGAAAACATAAGAGCAAGTACCTAAGAGCCCGTGGATAACCACGGATAGAAAGGGTGCTAACACCTTCCCTTTCTATAAATCTACCTCCCGAACCGAGAAACATCTCGAATAAGGAATTTTGCTGTGCTTTTGTCCTTTCCATATTGGAGAACATAAAAGACGGTGGCGACTCTTGCTTACCGCGACATTTCGCGAAACCAGCTTAAAAACAGTCAGTTCTATTTCCACCGATCACATCCTCCATTTCTTTCTTGGATGTCTCAGGGACAGTCAGTGATTGAGCCTTCGTCCGGACAGGCTCTACTTGAATACTTTTTCCTAGAATTTCAGCAGTAGGAGTGTTGGTAGGAATGACAATGGGGGTTGTAACGTCTTCGTCAATAGGAGCACTTGCAGAGATGATTATGGGTACGGAAGTAACCTTTGGAGCAGCCACGGGTCCAAAAACTGCCTTTGGGGGGCAATTTCTGGAGAAAAGATCCTACCGCTTTGGGTAATTTTACTAGTTCCGGAAATATTGCTAATATCGGAATCTTCTTCTTCGGAGTTTATATCTTTGGTGGCCAGCCCATCTTGTTTGATGCCATGGTAATAAATGTCCCCACCATAATTCCACGGCACAGTTTTATCTGATTCATATGGGACTGGCCCAGGCATTGTGATTATTAGAGGAGTAGTTTTTGGAACCGATGTAATTCTAACGGGTCTTTTGGGGACCCTGGAAGAATTGGCGGAGATGGTAATAATTGAAACATCTTCAACAGGAACAGGTGAAATAGTAGTACTTTCAAACAAAATCTATTTGTTGTCTATCAAGCGTTGAATGCCTGTTTTCAACAAAAGGCAATCAATTGGTGAGGATAAGCAAAGGTGGAAGTCTTCATTACAACCTGAGAATACACTGGCTTTCAACAAGTTTATCTTAATGGTTGGGAGTGGAGTCACGAGTTCATCAACTGTGGTAACAAACAAATCTTCTTCAATAGCATTGGTGTTGTGACCATGTCTGGGCATAGGAGCATAAATGACATTTGGCTTCTCGGGCGCATCAAACTCAATTTCTTTTGCTTCAGTGAGGTCTTTTATTTTGTTCTTTAAGGCCCAACAATTATTAGTATAGTGACCAGGACTTTCCGAATGATATGCGCAACGGGCATTAGGGTGATAATAAGGAGCTGTTGTATTAGGGTTTTTTGGAGCTTCTTTCAAGGTTGCCAAGTTGGATCTCAGAAGATACGGTATTACTTGAGACAGAGTCATGTCAATTCTTGTGAATTTCCTGACAGGCCTCTCCATCCTTGGTTGATTATTTCTTTGTTGATTAGGCATAGGCTTTGGAATCATAACAGCCCCCATCATTGGTCGGCGTTCGGCTCTCCCTCGGTTTCTTTGTGGATGTACAATAGCTACCTCTTTCTTCCCAATAAAAGGCTTCCTTACAGCTACAGAAGAAGATGAATCCTTCTGAATCTTTCCACTTTTTATACCGGCTTCCACCCTCTCTCTAGTTAATATTAGTTCAGTAAAGCCTGCAGATGAGCTTCCGATCAGATGGTTGAAAAAGGGACCAGACAAAGTGCTTAAGAACATATCCACCAATTCCCTTTCAGACAGAGGGGGTTGGACTCTTCCAGCCAAATCTCTCCATTTCTGCGCGTAATCCTTGAAACCTTCATTGGAAGCCATAGCCATACTCTGAAGTTGAGTACGGGTAGGCGCCAAATCAGCATTATATTGATATTGCTTATAGAAAGTTGCGGCAAGATCTTCCCAATTGTGGACGTTGGCTCTTTCTAGTTGGTAAAACCAGTCGAGTTGCGTTCCAGGCAGACTATCTTGGAAAAAGTGCACCCATAAGTCTTTATTGGCGGTGTGGGGTTGGATTTTTCTTACATATGAGCGGAGATGCATCTTAGGGCATGACACTCCATCATATTTGGCAAATGTAGGCGCTTTGAATTTCGGAGGAATCACAATCTCCGACACTAGTCCCAATTCTTCAAAGTCTAAGCCTGACACCTTTTGTATTTCCATCGCGCTCAAATGCTCTTCGAGATGTATATACTTATCATTAGCCGGAGGATACTGTTCCTCGGAGTAGTCTTCCTCTTCTTCCTCCTCTTCAGATTCTGACAGCACCGCTGTTTCCTTTCCTTTCCCCTCTCCTTCACCGGATGTTATTGCAAAATTCAAGGTTCTTCTAGTCTACCCCTGAAATCTTCTCCCCGTGTTTAAGACTTTAGTTACCTTCTTTGTTTTCTTTTTCCTCTCTTCAGCCAGCAGAGTCTTCAACTCTTCTTTCCCCTTGGCTAGGGTCATGAGCAACTGTTGGAACTGCGTGTTCTGAGCTTGGAGATCTTTGATTGTTTGTTCGAGATCCATCTTACTAAAATAAATAGTAGAGAGATGAGGAAACTTGTTGCAAAAGACCTGTTTATGTTATGATGAATGATATGTGCATATGCAATGTTTTCAAGGATTTCAAAGATTCAAGTTCGTTTTAGACAAAAAGAAAAAACACACGTTATATTAATAAGATAAATTTTGAGTACATCAATGCCCCTTGGGCAAAATAATACAAAACTCTAATATAAAAAAGTAGTGCGCATCCTCTTTGGTGCAATGTAGGCATTTAGAGTCCGCTCCTCATGAAGTAGCCTAGTGAGTTCCAAAACCTTCTTCTCGCTTGCGTAGAATTGGGCTTCGAAAGTATCTCGCTCTCCTTTAAGTTGTATCCAATCCCTTTGTAGGTCTTCAAGAGATGTGGGCATGTCAGGATGTAGGATAGTGTATGGAACATCTCCCTCCTTAACAGGCTCAATAATTACCGGAAGAATGGAAGGATAAGGCATCATAAGACTTTGAGCACGGGTTCGTACCCATTTGAGGTAAGGCTCAAGAGAGATGGAATTCTTGTGCCCCAAAATCTTACTATCCACCTTGTTTAGCATCCTCCAAGCTCGGATGAATCTCTGGCGAAGACCTTGATCGTCGTTGTCGTAGTCGAATACCAAACCTTGAATCAGCATCTCGTGCGGGCCATCCCTTCGGGAATAACCAAATTGTCTTAAAGCTAAGCATGGGTTGTAGGTGATACCTCCCCTAATTCCAAGTAGAGGGACATTAGAGAATTCCCCACAGCGGTCAACAATGATAACATTCTCTTTGGATCGGGAGCACCAATGAATATCTGAATGTTTAAGCGTCATTAACCTTTGTGACCACCTTGAACCTTGCTCATTCTTTAAGACTGGTTGGGGAAGATGAGAAATAAACCATCTTTCCAGGAGAGGAGTGCAACACATAAGGACACCTCTTGTCCTCATTGTGCGAGTGTGAAAATTGTGTAGGACATCTCCTAGCAATGTAGGCACCGGGTTGCGTGATATGAAGATTTTTGACGGTGCTCACAATTTCCTCAAAGGCTTGCAAGTCTAAGGAATTCCAACAGCTTTGGGCTTTCTCAAACATGAACTTTTCTAAGAAGCCTTTGACACCACTTCTAGTTTCCCAATGAGTTGTGACATCAGATGAGTGCAAGTGCAGAGCTTGAGCAATCTTTTCTGGAGTTGGGTCTCTTTCCATACCGTTGAAAGGTAGTTGATTGAGAATGGGAATCCTCAAGAGTTGAGAGAATTCTTCCAAAGTAGGCACAAGCTGATAGTCGGTAAATGTGAAGCAATGGTGCAAAGGATCAAAGAACTGAAAGAGCACCTTCATCATATCATCATCTGTGTTAGAGGTGACCAAGTTGAGCAGACGACCATGTCTCTCGGTGAATGGAGAGTTCTCATGGATCCTTGAAGCTAGCTCCTTAAGTTTTGGAGGAATTCTTACAAGGTTAACTTGGATAGTTTTCCTGCGAAGTAAATCCATATCCTACAAAACAAGAAAAAAGATGAATCTCCAAAATCCTTGAAATGGTTAGTAGATGTATATGATGTTCATGATATCCATGATGTTATGTACA